CGGGCAGCCTGCCTAATAATAATAATAAACTTTCCTCGGGCAGCCTGGCTTATAATAATAATAATAATAAATTTTCCTCGGGCAGCCTGCCTAATAATAATAAATTTTCCTCGGGCAGCCGGCCTAATAATAATTATAATAACAAATTTTCCTCGGGCAGCCGCCTAATAATAATAATAATTAATTTTCCTCGCGCAGCCTGCCTAATATAATAATAATAATAAATTTTCCTCGGGCAGCCTGGCTTATAATAATAATAAATTTTCCTCGGGCCAGCCTGGCTTATAATAATAATAATAATAAATTTTCCTCGGGCAGCCTGCCTAATAATAATAATAATAATAAATTTTCCTCGAGCAGCCTGGCTATAATAATAATAAATTTCCTCGGGCAGCCTGCCTAATAATAATAATAATAATAAATTTTCCTCTGGCAGCCTGCCTAATATTAATAATAATAATAATAAATTTTCCTCGGGCAGCCTGCCTATTGATTGGAGACAAATGATTCTACAAATGATTGGTAATATTACACAATCAAACATGCCTAATAATAATAATAATAATAAATTTTCCTCTGGCAGCCTGCCTAATAATAATAATAATAATAAATTTTCCTTGGGCAGCCTGCCTATTGATTGGAGACAAATGATTCTACATGATTGGTAATATTACACAATCAAACATAAGTTATCTAAGTACAGTACAGATAACGAGGAATATGCAAATTCCTCAAGTAATTACAAAAAGCGTGACTCCGAGTGGATTATAAATTTCTCGTACACAAAAGAGTGACTCCGCGTTGATAACGAGAATAGAATAGAATAACTTTTATTTCCAATCAAGGTTCATGTTAAATGACATGTGAATCACAATAATAATAATGAGATCAAAGATCAAATAAAGACGTTAAAGAAACTAAAACTTGATTCGTATTACAGTAACAACAATAAACTTAAAGAAAAAAAAACAAAAACAAAAACAAAACAAACAAACACAGCAAATGACAGGGTTTCGCGAACTACAATTAAACATCATAACTACATAATTAAATATATGAATTGAAAATTACATTTTGTTTTTATTTTTCGAATAACATTTAATTTACACAAACAGATAGCGTATACCTGTTTTGTAACAAAACTGTACAATACACATGTCTCTCTCAAAAAAAAATATTAATATACATATATATATATATACCAAGTTAAATTAATTTATGTTTTCTCATTATCATTTCTGAGTTTAAAACAAGTAAAAATAAAATCTACAAATTGTTTTATGATTTTTTCATCTTCGTTGCTCATTCACCAAATGAATTTGCTTATTTCAGACATTTTTTCAAAGTTTAAATTCTTATCTTTTATTTCATTATATAAAATGCTGCGTTGACTAGTAAAAGCATTGCAAGCAGTAACAAAATGTAGCTCGTCTTCAACTTCATTTGAGTTGCAAACTTCGCAAAATCTTTTATCTGACTTGATTTTTTTATATCTCCCAATCTCTACTGGGATCCTACATATTACCGGACAAAATATGATGTTTTTTCGCTGTAATTTTTATTCAAAATAATAAAAAAGAATGAAATTTTACCCAAATATATGTGGGTTCTTAATATAAGTAAACATTCCTTTATCAAACATAAAATCAAACATTTGACCGTAGAAATGTGTCTTTAAATTAGGGCATTAAAAGAGGAAAAAAATCGTGTAGACAACTCAATTTACCGGACATGTATGGAACATTGTGTTTCAATTTTTTTTTGCAGTCTTAAATTGAAATTTAGCAAGGAAACTACGACTATTGAATGTCAATGTAAGATACTGGGAAAAACCAGTATGTTACTAAAATAGAAACGGCCGCCATGCTTGTTACGAAGAGGCCAATATAGGGGTGTAATTGAAATCTACACTATTAACTCAATTAACGTAATCATTCTTCATGGTCCTTAAACTTATGAAACATTTTGATATTCAAATGGAATTCTGTTCTTTGTCATACAGTTTCCCTTTGGTCATCATGTAGCATGTTGCAAAAGCCATAAAGTCTTTTTCTTGTACATTTCATGTAAAGTTCCCTCCCATGGGCGTAACCCGTTTCCTTATAATATTATTTATGTATTTTAATTTGCATTTCTTTGTAAAAGACAACAACGAGATATTGTTTGAACGAATCTGAAATTAACATTTTATCATTAAAGTATGTTACGATTGTCCCCTGAGGAATTAAAAGTAAAACCTAAAAAGTATCTAAAATAACCCATTAAGGGCCTCAATATTCGGGAATGCGCAGCACAGATTATTCCCCCGCATGACCAGGTCGTGGAATAACTAGTAAACAAAAGGGTATGTTAGTAAATAAAGAACTGAATCAACAATATTTGCCTGAGAGTGGTTTTGTTGTTATTTACTTTGAAATAGAAAGTGTGTGTACGATTCAGACCGGATGATTTTTGAATCGAGGAAAAACATAAAGCCTTATTTAACATGAATAGCTTTTGTCCGGTAAACTGATTGTCCGGTAAACATGTAGGATCCCAGTATCTGTAATTTGTGAGAACTTATCCTTAACTTTGTAAAACAAGCTCTAATATTTTTATCTTTGATTACTGCTAAATAAGGTTCCCTACAAAAATTTGTTTTAAACAGTGCATAAGTACGTAGTTTTCCATCATTATCAACAGCATTTTTTAATTTATCTATAAATCGAATTTTAAAAGTGCTCAACAGTTGTTTTCAAACAACAACATACAGATTCTTATCACTATATTGACTTTCAGGTATTTTAAAATATTTTAGTATGAAGAAGACATTGGATAACCAACTGTTTTTTTTTTTTTAATTGTACAAATTTTCACTTTCAACATAAGCATTTTTTAAAAGTTCACTAATTGGAGATTTGGTTAACCTTGTATAATACTTAATACAACTGATTATGCAATCAAAATATAAAGGAAATCTCCCTAATTTACCTAAAACAGCATCATTGCATGCTACAATTCAGTCCGCGGGACTCCTAGTCCAACTAATTAGACTTGTCAAAGAGACACCGAGATAATTTTGGACGGGCGCTGTCTTGTAACGGTTTGACAGTAAGAAAAAAAAGTCTGTAAAATGGGTCAAACCGTTCACGCAAAATTACACGGTGATAGGGCGATTACCACAACTTTTCCGCGCAACGTCAAAATATCTTACTTCTGTCCGAGACACCGTATATTTCTGTGGTACAAAATGGACAGCAAGCCTGTAACCGAGACGAAAACAGCATATAATTTGCTCAAAACAAGGTAAAATCATCATTTTTTCTTTTTCATCGAATGTGCCATTTAATTTGAAACTTATTTATCTTTACTACATGCAAAATGCTTCATTAATTAAGTCAGGATAGTGAAAACATTTAGGGTATACTGAAAAAAATCTGTCCGTTCAGTTCATATAACTGGTCAAAATACAATATAAATATGTACATTATTGTCGTATGAACAAGTTACAATACATAAATAACCCGTTTTTTGTATATTTGGTATGATTTTTATGTTTCCACGTGTGTATTTTAAGGCACCGCACAACTTTGTCAATCATAAGATTAGGGCACCGCATTATTCCTCCTTAAAATCACCGCATTTTTCTGTCTTTTTAGCTGACCGTTGATTTTTTATATTAATGTTTGCTTTCAGAAAAAGAAGACGTTCAAACCTATGTCTGAACAAGCAAAAGCAACGTGCGAAATTGGCAAAGCTGCAGATACTGCAGCAACTGGAGAGCGCCCAACTAAGTCTTCTGATATCAGCAGTACGCCAATGGATCAGCGCCTCCCTGTATTTCAGGACGATATGCGTAACGCACAACATAAGAAAAAGAATATGAAGTCAAACTTTCGCAAAAGATTGTTTAAAAAAAGCACATTGGAGACGATGACTGAAGAGATTATGGAAATATTGCCCGGGTTCCTGCAAAAACTACACCATGAAAATTTGTGTTATGACTTTTGCAACTTTATCAAATTAGTATGCAATAAGAAATTCCCATTAACAAATAGTTCATTCCTTTTGTTTCTCGATGTTGTTTGATGACCACACGTATAGTCTGCCAAGAACTTCAATCTTTCCATGTGGGGTTTATCAGTTTGAATAAGTTCGAAAAGGAAAAGACATCCTTATCTATATATAGATACCATTGCACTTATCTAACTGGTAGTATTAACACAGATCAGACCTTCAGAAATTTTCCATAACATAACGTATGATATAACAGCAACATAACATAACAGCAAGTAAACAATCTTTCATCAAACTTTCATCAAATAAAAGTTATTATAAAACATATTTGTAAGAAGATTGTATAATTCAAAAGAAGACGGTTCCAGTATTTATCGGTCTAACGGAAAAAGAATGCGGTGTTTGAATTCAGTGTTGTACGGTGCTCCAATATTCGGGTCAGTAGGCCTTTTTTCAACAAATATTCCCTGAAATTTACGATAGAAACACACAATTTTGTATGGAACTTGAACTTAGGGTTAACCATAATAAATATACGAGCTCGTTAGGTCATTGAACAAAGACATCGTCGTTATAACACATGTTTTTGTGACAAGTACGAGTCATGTTGAGGTACACACGATCTTTTGTAAACACTATTTTCTTCGAAGTATGTGTTTTTTGTGAATTGTATTGTGCTAGATTAACAATAAATTGTCTCAAAAATTCGATGGAATACTTAAACAATTGGAATAATCTTGCAATGTCCAGCAGTAAGATATTTTGTAAGCTATTACCTGGAATTTGTTTATCCCGCCATTAATATTTTGTCCAGAAATATACGGTGTCTCGGTCAGAAGGATGATTTTGACGTTGCGCAGAAAAGTTGTGGTAATCGCCCTATCACCGTGAATTAATTAGGCTACGGGACTCCGTGAATCTCCGAGTCAAAAAGAGTGACTCCGAGAAAATAAGATTGATTTGGTACACGTATGCTATATTTATTTATTAATATAATGCTCTACCTCTAAAATAAAATCCTTCAACGCATGTATTATTCATTCAAAATAACAATGTTGTCGAAAATTCCTCGTCACAAGTGAAAACGAAAGTAGACACACTTGATTCATTAATTAATGGGGGAAAATCGGAAAATCCCGGGATCGCCTACAGAAAAGCCGGGATCCGGGATCGTATTAAACATATAGTAATCCCGGGAATTGACCACCAGTTCTCGGTGTCGACGATGAATTATCGATTATCTCATGCATTTCGTCAAAGATATGCTTGTGATATGCTTGTTGACAATTTTAATGATGGTTTTTTTATTGTTGATGACTATGATATATTTGTGTATTTGAATGATTTTCGGTACGGGTTTGCCTAAAATACGAAAGTGAGATTTTTGACGAAACTGAGCGAAAGTGAGCGAAAGTGACTTTTAAAATATTAATTGTAACGTTTTAATAGACTGACTTATTCTGACTTTTACAATAAAATTGCAGTTTGTAGACGTAAATTATTAGAAATTACTTATATTTATTATAAAAAATAGTCATAATGATGATTTATTCGGTTTTTATTTGCATAATATATACTGTATACACAAATTCTTATATCTTCCTTTCGCTTACATTGAAAAATACGAAAGTGACTTATAAAATATACCGTTTAAATTGAAATTATTTTTACTATTATTGCACAAAGTGGACGTATAATATCAGAAAATGATAATATTTACTTTCAAAGATAATCATTATGATGATTAAATCGCCATTT